TGATCGCACTAAACCCAAACAACCACCATTTCTCTCATCTAACTACCCAAGTTGCTTCTATAAAGGACCTCAAGGCCGAGGCTGGCTGAAAACAACAAATTCTTCTCCCTTATAACGAGACTGTGTTATGGCTCTCTGCGCTACACCCTTCAAGGCCACCAAGGTTGGCTGTAGGACTGTTTACTTCCGCCCAACCGGGTGAAGAGACACTCTCTCAGCTGAACACAGGATACACATACACATGCGCACACACACGTATACAGACACAGACATACCCTCACCCCCCTCCTCCCTCCAAACACCTCAGATACTTGCCTCCAGCGCAGAGATGCTGCAGGACTGGATGTTGCTGTCAACACCGGAAAACTCTCACCCCATACCCACCCCTGTTGCTTGTGATGTGTTCTCATGGTGTTATTCAATTCAATTCAATTTTATTTATATAGCGCCAAATCACAACATAAGTCGCCTCAAGGCGCTTCATATGGTTATGGTGTAAAGATCCATGTGCTTTTTGTGCTGAGGAGTTTTTTTGTTTTCTGTTCTCATACTGATCTCCTACTAGAAGCTCAGTCTGAGATAAGTTCTCTTTTTCTCTCCTCCACGGATATTTAAAAAAAAAACTGTCCATATGTATATAGCGCACACTCTGTAAGGTAGAAACTGATATTATAATAATTAATAATAATGGATTGGATTTATATAGCGCTTTTCAAGGCACCCAAAGCGCTTTACAATACCACTATTCATTCACTCTCACATTCATACACTGGTGGAGGCAGCTACAGTTGTAGCCACAGCTGCCCTGGGGCAGACTGACAGAAGCGAGGCTGCCATATCGCGCCATCGGCCCCTCTGGCCAACACCAGTAGGCAAGTAGGGTAAAGTGTCTTGCCCAAGGACACAACGACCAGGACAGAGAGCCCAGGGATCGAACCGGCAACCTTCCAGTTACAGATGCGATTCCCAACCCCCTGAGCCACGGTCGCCCACGACATCTATTTCTTATATTTTGTAAACTTTGTACTAAATTAAAAAACAACATATGCAGTCTGTTACTGTTCTCATTGTCTTGGAGCAACTGTAACCTTATAATTTCCTTAGGATTTGATAAAGTATTCTCATTCATTAGAATCAGAATTTAGATTTGAACATTTTTATTTTTATGTACAAATATTATTTTAATATTATTATTGTGTGTGATGGTGAAAAGCCCAAAGGTTTGGAAGAGGCATACAGGGACTGTGGAAAAAGTAAAAATGTGTGTGAGTTCTCTAAAACCGTTTTTGTGAACACTTTTCTAAGTATGTTTTAAAATGTGAAACATGATTTTATTGACATGATCATCAAAGAACATGATTTTTATAAAACTTTTATTCTTATGTTTTGAAAGTATGTCAGACTTATCCTCTCTGATGCGTTACACATGGGTAACCCTTGTGGTGTCCTCAGATCAAAACTGGTCCCTAGGTGAATGGCAAAAGAGCATATGGGAATTCCGAGGACATATACTTGATAAATATGCATGCAAATATATAGGCAAATATAAGAAATTTGAAAGAAAAAAACAACATCTGGGCAAACTGCACACCATGAATTTTTAATCTAATAGTACCAAAAAAAAAGGCACCATTGAAGAAATAAGAAGAGAAAATGGCATTTCATAATTCATTGTGATGCATCATGTGTTGTTGATCATGAAAATGGTCAACAAAACTGCCAAAACAAAGCACATCAGGTAAATATGGAATAAATTGCATTTTCTATTTAATGTCATGGCCTGCTAAAATGTTTTCAGTGTTCAAAAACAGGCACAGTTGAGCTCTGAGTGAACTTCTATTAACACAAATTACATAAGCTCTCTAAATCTGTCCTGTCTTCCTCACCTCACTCTTCAGCTAGTCACAGCAGATGACTGCCCTCTCTGAGCCTGGTGCTGTTGGAGGTTTCTTGCTGTTAAAAGGGAGTTTTTCCTTCCGTCTGTCACCAAGTACTTGCTCATAAGCGGCTCATCTTATTGGTTTTGTCTCTATTGAAGGGGGTTATCCTTATAATATAAATGTGCTGTTGTGATTTAACAGTATATGGATATTTATACTCATTTAAATATATACATAGGGCACCACAGTGGTGCGGTGTTGCCTTATAGCATGGAGGCCCTGAGTTTGATCCCACCAATATCTGTTGTAATTCCAATTTAACTTCTGGTCAGCTGGGATAATTGATGGATGCAAAGAATTTTACTTTGGTTACTGAGATTCTGAATAACGAGTTTTAAAGGAGTTACACTGGATCACCATATAGTATGAAAATATGAGAAAATAATATGCATTAATTTTATATTGGCTTGCAGACAAATTTACTAATTGGGACAAATTTTTGTACTAAATGTAATTAGTAATAACCAGCATTACAAACTATTCCACAATATTAACCTGAAATGAAAATATAGAAGAACGGCAAACATTATTAACTGATAGATCATGAGCAGTCCCTGCTTCAATGAAGATACCGTTACTGTGACATGTGGGGAAATTTATATATTGTTCCGTTTTTTCTTTTCTAGTACATAGCATCATTCAAACATTAATCATTAGTCAGTCTGCCCCAGGGCAGCTGTGGCTACAACTGTAGCTTGCCTCCACCAGTGTGTGAATGTGAGAGTGAATGAATAGTGG